AGCCCATACGATGAACAATGGGGATGTGAACGATTTTTGTGAGGTAATTTCAAGTGGAATTTACTGACATTTTGAATCGCTATATTCAACTATTATTATTCATAAATCCTACTTTATCTATTTCAAGATATACAAAGAACTTACAAACTAAACCAGTTACGTAATTATTTTACACTTTTGTATATATTTGTTTTGCTCCGCAGTTACTAGTGACAGTTATCGGTTGTCGAAGAATACCAGTCTTAACTGGCCATAGTATTGGTTATTTATTTTTACTTTATCCACGGTGGATTAAAGCAAATTCTAGAATTTAAAATTCAAGATAACCTTGTCATTCAGCACAAAGGTTGCTTCATCCAGGCTGAATAATAATTTCGGCTTTGCCTCATCCTCTCATCCACACCTCCAACGAGATTGGATACTTGGGTTTTTGGCATTTTCGTTTAAATCGTGAAGCAAATTCAAAGGTAAAAATTAAGTCTTCTATTCTTTCACATGTAGATAAACTCTTTATCAATACGATATAAAACCAGTCTAAACTGGTAGACCCTTTAATGGAATTTACTTTAATTATGGAAGAGCATTATTACGAACACGAAATCAACTTGATTGTGTTGGCAATACAAAAGTATGCAACATTGCGCATGTTAGTGAATAGACCTAAATATTTCGATCTAGCAAAAGCAGTTCCCATTTAGCTTACTATAGATTAGGATGCTAGTCCCCTCAACGATTCAAATGTTTACTGCCAACTAACTAAGTGGGAATATTGCCCAAGTCATTTGTGGATAAGGAACAAGCTTACCAGTTTGTAAATGGGAACATTAATTTTGTTTCAGATCAACTAGATTATAGCTTTAAGTTAAAATAGAAAATTATGCCTAGTTGGAGAAATCTTTTGTGGTCTTTTTCACAAATGAGGCAATTTTATCTGTAACCAGTTTTATGCCGAAGTCATGACCAAGATGGTGAAAAAAGTGTAGCTGACCTAAAAGGTTTGTGTTTGAAGACCTTTGGTAAGAGAATAAGAAACCTAAGTTTCCGGGTCTAGTATCAGAGAAAGCACAATTTTGGGCTGTAGGAAGAACATTAATTGACATATATGAGTCTTATTCTTACTGCCTTGATGCCATGAAACTTGCTCCCCCCAAAGGGTATTTTCTATCCAAGGTGAACCGAAGTTTTAACCTCGCCTGGATCTCATCAGCACCTTATACAAAAATCATTTATATTTTCGACATTTTACCATTACATCACACTTCCACGGTTGCCAGTGTCACAGACAAGTGAATTTAAAGACAGGCCTAGTCTATATAACGATTAAAGTATGATCGAAAGTATGAATACCAAGATGGTGTGGCCTTTTGTGTGGTCGCAGTTTAGCACACGTTTGGTCAAAGGATCGGCTTCACTTGTCTCTTTGACGAGTTGTAATATGGTGTTAAGAATGGCAAAAGTCACTGACGATGCCGACTACGATGCCGGCAAAACGTCTGGGAATGTACTACGTCCACGGTCTGACTTTGAAAATGATTATGCATACAATGGACTCCGGACAAGGTGAGTTCCTCTAAGTCTTCCTACCAATGTGACCAACTTGCGAAAACAAGGTCAAATAACTTTGATAAAAGTATGATTGTCGATGAGGCAAACTTATATTTCGATCATACAATCGACTACGCTACTTATATTCTATTTAAGTAGGCTACGATTCTATCAGTTTATCTCGAAAAGAGATGTAGGACTTCTAGTTGAATTTTATTTCACAAATGGCTGTTAAGATCCACGACATAAGACGGCGTTTCACAGACTCTCAACGGTTTGTACACATTCTTTTGCTTATTGCATAATTTACCAAATCTTTTTAAAAAGTGAACCTAATTAGTTAACATAATACAGGCCGGGAACAGTAAAGAAAATATTTCGCGATGGTGAATAGTCTAAAAAATCCGCATTTTCGCTAAACAACTATGGATTTCATATCCATATTTCCTAAGTCTTTGCTTGAAATTCTGAACAGCAATAAATGTAAAACAAATGGCTAGGCTCGGCAGAAATTTTTTGCTTGCACGACTTTTGAGAAAAGATATTAGCGTTATGAGGAAACGTTGGATCATCTGACCGTCTACAATTAAGTCCGATGTTTGTGTACTTTGATTTTATTTTCTTTCTCCTTCTGCACATTATTTAATTTCCCCTATGAGAATTTCATGCAAATTGACTGACGAATAATACAACCTCTGAAAATCCTACTCATTTAAAGTGGGCTGATTGTGGCTTGCCCCAAGCGTTCCGCCGGTACTTCCTAAAACTCTGTAGGAATCTTCTAGTCTGCTGGAAGAACTTATCCTACTCCGAAACACCCTAAAGGGGGAATGAAATCAACAACCGTGCAGAGCTGGTACCAAGGCGATACGAGACTGGCTACTTCATTGGAATAGCAAGGCTTTTGC